GTGACAGTCTGCATGCATAAAAAGCATAGCCTTTAGGAACTCCCTGGGAAGTTCTACTCTATTCTATAGGGGCGCTAAGAATTGGAATTAAGTAGAAAGACGTCAGCAGGGTGTCGTTTATGAGTAGGGGAAGCGTTTCAGGACTGTTTGCAGCATCACTCACATCCTAAAATGCCACAAAATCATCTTCATAGGAGGCCACCTGGAGACTGTCTTGTCACTCTCCCGCTTCCTCGGAACCTGAACCTTACTTCTCTCATTCAGGGTAGGCCTTTATATCCAGGAATATTCTGAACACAGCAAATGTCTGGTACTGGAGAGATTTTTAACACATATTTGCTACATAAATATGTCAAGGAACCTATAACTACTAGCTCAGGGGGGCTAATTTTTAGATAAGTATAAAAACTTTCAGACTCCTAGTGTGGCACTGTAGGATCAGCACTGGGCTGCGAACCACAGTGTCGATAGTTCAAACCCATCAGCTGCTCCTTAGAAACCCTACACAGGGTCACTATGAGTTAAAACCAACTCAACGGCACATAACAACAATATAAAAGTTTTCAGTTAGAGAAAAGCACACAAAAGCTAAGCATTAAAATGTACAATAAAATCAGCTGTGATAATAAGGACAAAAAAGACCATTTCTTTATCTCATGTAAGACATTTATTTTGGTTACAATTTTGTGTTCTAACACTGATGTGATAGGACATTAAGATTTCTTGCTTTCTTTTTTTTTAAAGAACAATTTGACATCTCACTCCTTTCTTTTCAAGAAACTCATTCTTTTGCAATCAAATTGCCAAAAAATGTGGCAGGAAGTAAGAGGGAGCAAAAATGAAGCCTCCAACCAGTCTCAACTTGAATGGCTTCCCTAGTTCTAATCAAGATCAACTATTAACGTGGAAAGACCATCATTGTTAGTTTGTCAGTGATTCTAACAAAGAAATCTCCCTGTGAGGGGAGACCATATCTTTATACTATAAGATCAGTGCGTATTTTAATTAAAACATTAGCATCTTAACATTATTAATTTAAGATTCAGAGGCAACATTCCCTTTTCAAACCATCACCTCAGATGCAATTGCGCCACCTTCTGGCCATTGGTGGTTACTACATACTCTGCAACTTTGGTAGTGTTAAATTACAAGGGGGATTCTTTGAGATCCTTACAATGTTAGAGCCAGAGGGCCTTGTATCTTTCAGGTGAGTCCCTGAATTTAAAAGATGGTGACTTCTGCTTTCAAGATAACTCAGATAACCGACCTGTGGAAAGCTGTACTGCTTTAAGACTAAGAGGAGGATCAGTTGGTGCTGTAATTTTGCCTGCATGGGGCTCTATTGATGAAAGAAAGACATCAGGTGGGTGGCACACCCTGATTTCCAACTCTATCACTTCCCAGGGGGTAGCAAACTGTCCAAGAACAGATCCCACTCCTAGCTGGGTATGTGTTGGCTCTTACACAACAGACTTTTATTTTCTTTTACTTTAAAAACTAGGAGCTAAATCCCGTGAAGTAAATAAATGTAGGGTTTCTGGGAAATTCCAAAATGTCAGCATAAAAGTAGTGCCCAAGTAAAGGCAGTAATTGTCCCAATAACCTTTTCTCTCTCAGACCCCCACAAAGCCCTTGAGAGGTTTTAACTAGACACAGCTGTTAAAAGTCAGTCTCAGCCACACCAACCTTCTGAGTTTGCCTAAGACGCTGTGACTGTCCTTGTGAGGTAGCCACTGCCCGCCTTGATTGGGGACCCTGAGCCTCATCCCAAGCAGAGCAGAAGGCTCTAATTTAGAAGTGCTACACTTTGCTTAGGGAGCTCTGGTAGCGTAGTGGTTACAAACCGGGCTGCTAACCTCAAGATCTGCAGTTCAAAACTACCAGCCATTCCGTGGGAGAAAGATGAGGCTTTCTGCTCCCAAAAAGATTTATAGCCTCGGAAACCCTGTGCGGGGTCACTATGAGTCGGAACTGACTCCATGGTACTTAACAACAACACTTTGCTTGAAAGAACTGCCACACATCCTAGCCCAGTTGGCTGGAATGTTTTCTTTCCGTCTCCAGGAGCAGATATGAGTTTGTGCTAACTCCGTTCCACCCTCATCCAGACCACCTCTGGCAACTGTGTGCACCTATGGGTCAGGGGCATGTGCCACCTGTTAGACACTCCCTGGGTGGGGCTGGGGACTTAAGTCTTGAGAAAGAGCCCCAAGCCAACCCCACTGCCCTTGAGTTGACCGCAACTTATAGTGATTCTACAGGCCAGAATCTAACTTGAAGTCTTACCTCAGCTCTGCCTCAAAGAGCCAGGTAACCCTAGGCCCACACCTGCAGTCATTCTGAACCCGTTTCCTTTTTTTTTTTTTTAAGGAAACAATACATGGTAAGCTCTACCAGCTTCAAAAGGTTGTTGTGAGGATCAAGTCAGGCTAAATGGGCAAGTTATCTGAGGATTGTAGAGTGACGTACACAGGATAGAAGATGGCTAGGTCATGTAGGTGGGGCTCTAGGAAAGAGGACGGAGACTCATTTTCTAGGGCTGCTGTGGTCACAGAGGACTCCTGGCATGGTCACAAAGGAAAGACAGACAGTGAGCCCCCTGTGACAGGGAGTTTCCCGAGGTCAGAGAACCCAGAAACCTGTGGGCAACACCCTAAAGCCCGCTGACTTCTAGCTAAGCCCAATCTCCTTTTCCTAGATGGAAATTCCTTGGTAAACTTTGAAAAAGGCACATTCCCCATCTTGCCATGTTAATAATCTTCTTGAACTACAATTTAAAACTGAATTTCAAATATTAAACAAAAGTCCCTGATATTTCACTTCAGGTAAGACTCCTTGCAAGGGGTTCTGGGAACTTAGTACACCCAACAAGAACCATGTTCGGCATGCCCTACATACACTTGAGTTAAAAAAAAAAGGAACAAGTAATTCCACTAGCTTTTATCAGATGCCTCTGTACTAGACACTGGGACCTGCCTGAGGACGGCCTTCTGTCCTTGTTGTTAAATGCCATCAAGTTGGTTCAGACTCACGGCGACCCAGTATGGAGTTTCCCCAGAGTCTGAAGATAAACAATTTTTTATCAGTTCTATAATATGGTGAAAAGCCCTAAAAAGACTATATTCAAAATAAGCTCCGATGTTCTAACAAACATGTACGCCTATAGTGTAAATGCTAGTACATTCCAGCTGCATCCTAAGAAAAGTCCCAAATGAAGTTGCTTATTTTTTGTTTGGACACTCCGCCATATTTTATTTCTGCCCAGTGGAGTCACTTTTGCTCCCAAAGCTCCAGAGAGGGGAAGAACCACCTATAAATGGGCAGGGTATGAGCCTGGGACCACTCATTTCCCTGTTCATCCTCTGCTTGCGTTTTCTAGAGACACACCTCCACACACCCCCATATACACGCTGTAATTGGCCAACTTCCTCCCTCTGCTCTTGGAATAGCAACCGAGACAAAAAGCAGTTAGTGTGAGTGGCTTGGGCTTGCCAACACTATAATTCTGGACAAAACCCTTGTAATTCTCCAAATGGTGGGGTTTTTAAATAGGCCGGACTTCAACACCCTGTTTTCTAAAAAAGAAAAATACAACCATGCCCCAGGCTTCGCTCTTGTAAAATAGTCCAATTCTGAACTCAAGTGTGCCTCTGAGAGTCACACTTTTAATTAAAACTATGGGTTTAGGCAAGTGTTCCAGGGGAAACTATCCACTCAGAGGGTCTCTGTTAAAGCATCTTTAATCCTGTCTCTCTGTGGGAATTTCCATCCACTAGCAACCAGCAGACACCCCTACCCCCACTCGCTTCAGACCAGTGGCATCACTAGGATTTGGTGCTACCAAGTGGTGTCTCCATCCCCACCCCCCACATGGACCATACAAAATCCTTAGTAATGTTTTTGTACTAATGTTACTTGTAAATCACAATTCCTGTCTCTCACTGAATGGAATGGAATTTGTAATGACATAAACAAATAGCAAAATTAAAATTAAACCTTTAAATTAAAACAGCATATGCAGAAGAAACCATGTGATTTGAAGCATCATCATAATTGGGTAATACTGACTGACAGCTCTGACCAGAAAGCATAGTTGTTGTTGTTAAGTGACATCAAGTTGGTTCCAACTCATAGAGACCCTGTATAGGGTTTCCGAGGAGTAACTGCTGGGTTTGAACTGGCGACCTTGCAGTGCAAACTGATTTTACAGTCTAGTGCTTATTGTACAACATCACACTAGGACTCCCAGAAAGCATAAGAAGGTTCAAAAAGTAAATTCACCCAGAGTTTTTGCCTTGTAGGTATAAAGAGATTCATATAAGCTTGGCTTACAAAGTTTTTTTGTTTATAAGTAACTATAGGGATATTTTTATTAAAAATATTCAATTTCTGCTGAAATACTGCACATAATTTTTATAGACAGTTGTTTTGGTGTCCCCACCCCCACCCCCCGACATTGTTGCTCAGTGTGGTCCACACTCCCTGTGCCCCCCCTAGTGACGTCAGTGCTTCAGACTTCAAGACACAGTCCTACCTGTGAGCAGGGTGTGGAGGAAGGCTGTAAGATCTGGGGGCAAAGACATAGTGGGTAACAGGGGCCCGGGATTGCATAGTTCCTTCACTGGAGCTAAAGATGCTGCAATCCCCATTCAAGAAAGAACCCAGGAGCGGGGTGTAGGTCATGTGGAGCCCCCACGAGCGTCCACAGAGCAACTGCCCTGGGTCACTAGGGAGAAGTGTGCATGTCACAGCCCTGCCCCACTGGGCTCCCACCTTAGGGAAAGAAGATCACGCATGACAGAACAGGACACACCAGGGAGCAAGTTGCAGCGGACTTTATGTGCTCCTCAGCGGGGAGTTGGCCTAGGGCTGTGTTGAGACAGACTCATTGGCAAGTGCCTGGTGGTGCTAGGAGCAGGGTACACTGTGATTCCTAAACATGGAGGCTTGAGACATTCACCCCAGGCATCCCCTAAGAGGAGGCAGTGAGAATATCCTAGTTACAATTTCCCCTCCTTGACTAGTCTGTCATTGAGATGGCAGAGTTGGGCTAGGAAACCGTCGTTGGGGCCAATCTCACGGTTCTGCCTCACGATGCTCAGAGCCGACTTAACGTCCATCTTCTGACGAATCATGAGGTAGGCGATAACTAGAGTTGGGGAGCGACTATATCCTTCACGACAGTGGACTAGCACCCGGCCTAGAAGAAATGAGGGGAACTCCATGAGTTAGTATGTTAGGTCACCTCACACTTAGTCCAGGAAACTCTCATAAAACACAAACAAAAACCACAAAGTAACACCACTGTGTACCCACCAGTCCAACCCAACCCAACCCACGGCCACAGAGTCAATTGCTACTCTTAAGCAACCCTGTGTAGGGTTTCCACTGCTGTAAGTCTTTATAGAAACAGAAAGCCTCATCTTTCTCGTGCAGAGTGGTTGGTGGGTTTGACCTACAGACCTTGTGGTTAACAGTTTAGTGCTTACCCTACAGTGCCACCAGAGTTCCTTGTGTACCCACCAGAATGGCTAAAATGAAAAAGATGAAAAATACATCTGGCGCTAGTGAGGCTACTGGGGGTGTTGATTGGTACTTCCTTGGAAAACTGCATAGCTTTATCTACTAAGTCCTGGTGTGGCTGTGGGTTAATGCGCTGGACTGCAAAGTCAGTTTGAACTGCAAGGTCTGTGGTTCAAGCTTACCAGCCGCTGGCTCCTCAAAAACCCTTTACAGGGTCGCTATGAGTCAGAAGCGACTCGATGGCACTGAACAACATCTACTAAAGTTGCACACACACACGCCTTACGACTCAGCAACTCTACTTCCTGATACATGCCCAACAGGAACACACAGTCACGGAAAGAAATGCACTTGAATGTTCATAATAGCATATGATGTGTGGCTTTTGACACCAACTTGAAATGTCTTCTCTGCACCTCGTCATTTCTAGTCTCTTCTGTTGTGACACAAACTACAACACTGTTTTCTGACCTTAACCGCCCGAGTTAAGTCAAAGCTCACCAACCTTTCAGTTCCAATCGACTTTGTGGTCCAGCACTTACCCTATAGCGTCACCAGGACACCCTCTAGCATACACAGAACCAAACTAAGCCCACTGCCATGAAGTCGTTTTCATGCATGATGACTTTATGCGACAGAGGACAACTGCTCCCTAGAGTTTCCGCAACTGTAAACCTTCACAGGAGCAGACAGCCACGTTTTTCTCCTGAGGAGTGGCTATTTGGTTTGAACTGCTGACCTTATGGTTATCAGCCCAGTGCTTAACCAACTGTGCCACCTGGGCTCTTTCCAGCACATACTAAGTGCTCAGTAACCAAGTGAGTGATTACCCACAAATGCCTCTGTTATTGTTGTTGTTGTTAAGTGCCACTGAGTCACTTCTGACCCATAGCAACCCTGTATAAGGTTTCCAAGGAGCAGCTGGTGAGCTTGAACCATTGACCTTTGCAGTTCAAACTGACTTTGCAATCTAGCACATTAACCCACAGCCTACACCAGGATTGCTGTTATTGTTAGGTATTGTTAGCTGCTCCCAAATCAGTTATGACTTATAGCAACCCCTTTGTACAACAGAACAAAACACTGCTCAGTCCTGGGCCAACTCACAAGCGCTGCTACATTTGAACCCATTGCTGCAGCCACTATGTTGTCCCATCTCCTTGGGGGTCTTCCTCTTTTTCACGGATCCTCTACCAAGCATGATGTCCTTCACCTACTAACATGTCTGACATAAGTGAGATAAAGCCTTGCTGTCTGGCTTTTAAGGGACATCCTGGCTATACTTCTTCCAAGACAGGTTTGTTTGGTCTTCTGGCGATTCATAATTCAAAGGTTATCAATTCTTCTTTGGTACCTTATTTATTGTCCACCTCTTGCATGCATATGTGGCAACTGAAAAGACCATGGCTTGGGTCAGGGCAAAAACAGCACAGAGGTCATGTCTGATTTCCTCTAGCTTTATAAGGGAGAAGGAGAATCAAACTCAAAATCAGCCCAAGGTTGATTCCCATGAGGTAGAAGTCAGACATGCTTCCACCCTACATTCTTCACCCTATTCTGACACCAACCATCCCTCCCACAGCCCTCTGCTTCACAAGAGGGTTCAATAATCAGTTACAGTGGCCACACAGACCTCATAGAAAATATTCACAATTATGGGGATTGTTAGGGAAGTGAACAGGGTACAATTCAGGACCACAAACCACTCAGGATGCAGCAGTTCTCCAGTTAAGCACACCTTGCTCTTATCTTCAGTCTCTCAGCCAGCGTGGCCCCTCAGACTCTGTCCTGCTCAAGCATGTATTACAAAGGACAGTTAGCCAATCTGTAAATGCACATAGGATACATTCTGCAAGCCAGTCTCCTGTCAGTAGGCATTCAACTATACTGGGTCCATGAGCCAGAACACCTAAAGCTGCTCTGTCTCTCCATGCCTCCACCGCTTTTCCAGGTATGAATTGCACACTTGTGGCTTCTTTTTCTTGGTGATTCTGAAATAATCTGTTTCTGCTTCTGAGATGGCTCCTTTGAAACCCAGCAGGAAGGCAAAACTAACCAATCCAGACCTTAGAGTCCTGGTAGAATAATGGTTATGAGTCAGGCTGCTAATCTCATGGTCAGCAGTTCGAAACTACCAGTGGTTCTGCAGGAGAAAGATGAGGCTTTCTATATATAGCCAGGATGCCCCTTAAAAGCCAGGATGGCAAAGCTTCATCTCACTTATTTCAGACACGTTAATAGGAGGGACTAGTCCCTGGAGAAGGACATTGTAAAGATTTCCAGCCTCAGAAACCCTATACAGGGTTGCTATGAGTCGGAACCGACTCCCTGGCACATACCCACCACCGCTGCCATCACCACACCCTATATGGATGGATCCACACAATTTGGTGGGAATTAAGATTTGGATCAAAAAGCTATAGTAACAGTCAGGCACACTTTAGTCTTCAAAGTGTCATCTTTGTTTTTAAAGCTTTAAAAATAAATCTTTTGCGGGAGATTTGCCCAAATTATGTCATTTGATTTCTTGACTGCTGCTCCCATGAGTACTGACTGTGGATCCGTAAAATGAAGGGAAATCTGCTAGCCCAGAATCAAACACAGCCTCTTCTAACCCCCAAAGGCAAAACATAACAAAACAACTCATAGGTCATACAGAGCCTACTAAGGGAGGGAGGCTTAACTTCCCATCCTTCCAGGCCCAGCCCAGAGGCCACCTCCTCCATGATGCCTCACCCGATCTTCCTGAGTAGAAGTGACTTACTCCTGGTGACGAGCACCCATGTCATAGAGCCCTGTACACGGAAGGAGGTCAGGGCATTTCTTGTGACTCACTTGGCCAGTTGATCTTGGGAGCACATCCACTTGGCATTAGAGCCTATGAAATTCATTTTTGTCACTCCTCTGCAAAGTATTCTTGGTGTACCCACTATGTGCCAATGCTATATTAGGCACTAGAGGAGCAAAGCTGAGAGAAGACTTCATGGAAGAAGAGCTAACTCAGTACATGGTGGAGTTTGCCAGAGGACAAGTTGGGGAGAGGCAGAGAGAGCTTTCCAGACTGAAAACCCAGCCCACCTAGGCTAAGTCATGAGGTCACAAAAAGTCAGATGGAGAGAGGAAACAGAACCAGACGCCTCTAAGTCCATTGCTCAATATTATATGAGAAGATCAAAGCACATTCCCCTAATTGGGCCCCTCATTCTCCGTCAATACAGTGGGTCAGTCCAGTGCCATGGAGTAGAGGGGCTGAGCTGGGCTGGAGGGTAATAGGGATAGGACCATGAAAGGCATGACAATAAAGCCTACAGATTCCCTGGTCTCCTGAGCCCCAGCAATGTGCATTCTGCTGCTCAAATAAACACGGTTTACTAGAAATCATTCGGATGGGAAGGCTGCTCAGTATAGTAGTACCGGCTAGTCAGGGGTCAAGATGATCCCCAGGGGTTTAGGGTGGGTAAGAGGAAGAGGTTGCAGGAACCAGCAAATGGTAAAGGGAGAAGCTGAAAGAAAGAAACTCAAACTAGAAAGGGCAAGCAATCCAGATGCTCAGCTGTTGTCTGCCCTCTGGCCTTCGAGTATTTCTCTCTGGAATGTACCAGCACCTCAGTAGCTCTGCTTAGTCTTCAGGAACTTGTCCTCAGGAACTTAGAAAGCATTGTAAGTAACTAGAAAACCATCCCAGGCAAAATGAAATCCAATGCTAGGAACCCTAGAACTGCCATCCTGTGTCATAAGGGCCATACCGCAGACAGCTGAGTGAGCGGAGAACCAGCCCTAAAGTTCTCCCCAACCACAAGACATGAGGAGCCATGGGGTTTCCAAGAGGAGCTTTGAGTGGGCCTGCTTTCTAGAAGGACAGTCTAGCCAAAGTCACATCACATTTCTTTTTTCCTGGACAGCAGACCCCTTACCATTCTTGTGAGCCAGGGCCTGATCAATGAAGTCTGCAGCCTTTTCAAAGAAGGCGCTGAGGTTGAATTCCTGTGTGTCGTTGGCTTTGATGCCCAGGTAGGTGATTCCGGAGTCCTTGTAGAAGTTGGCACTGGTGTTGACATGCATGAAGGATCTGCCTTCAGCAGCATTCAGGACATGGGTGATGCCCAGTTTCTGCAGCTTGGGGATGTCTTGAGCCACAGACCTGGATAGGAGACAGTACAGGGGATGAGAAATGGACCAACTGGTAACCCCAATGGGAAGAAGATAGGAAGAAACTAAGTCTGTGACAAAGAGCAAGGAAAGCCTCCATGCTCCAGTCCCTGCCAGCTTCTCTGTCCTCATCTTAATAATCCTCCTCTCAATCCAGCCATACCGAATAACCAGCAGCTTTCCCAGATATACCAGCATTTCATGCCCATTCTGTTCCCTCTGTATTTCCCTCCCCCAGCTGGTGTGGGTTAATGCGCTGGACTGCAAAGTCAGTTTGAACTGCAAGGTTGGTGGTTCAAGTTCACCAGCTGCTCCTCGGAAACTCTATACAGTGTCGCAACTGACTCGATGGCACTTAACAACAATCTTCTCTATGGATATGCACCCACTCGTCCTTCACCTTTTCTGCAGTATTTCCTGACCTTCCCTCCATTCCACTTGGCAATACGCTCCGCTCCCTGTGGCTAAATCTGAGTCTAGCTCGGCCACTTAATCTGTCAGACAATTGCAAGAAAACTGCTGAATGTTTTTTGTGCCTCAGCTTTCCTCTCCATAAATGGGGGTGATAATGCTGTTTGTTTCGCGGTCCAGGCTAGAAGCTCCTTGGAAGAGGAACCCTGGCTGCTTCAGGTCTGGTTCCCAGCCCCTGTGATAGGTAGGACTTGGCACACAGAAGGTACTGAGTAAACAAATGATGAATGAAGAAGGAAATCGATACACGCCAAGCAGGTTGCATCCTACCATGGATTATCAACTGCAGCAGCTCCCTCCCCAGTCCTAAACCAGGCTCCTTCCTACCACCTTCTGCTAGTCCTCCTGGAGCCCTCCTGAGTGAGATAGCACTGACCTGGGGGAGCAAGTGACGCCCAAAGAACTAAGGAGGCTCCAAACCACTAGATCTGGTTAGTCAGTCAGATGGCCTGTTTCATCTCACACCAGCATTCAATTCAAGCAGGAGTTCATACTTTGGTTTATACAGTACTTTTCCCTACATGGTCTAGATTGCAGCCCTGCAGGAAGGAAGGAAGGTGGCAGTATCTCCACCTGACAGAGCTCAACTCTGGCCCCAAAAGGACAAGCGGAAGGGTGTGGATGTGTTCACACAGGCTGCAGAGCGGCAGAGCGGCAGAGCGGCAGAGCTGGGAGCCGACCTCATGCTCCTGACACTCCAAGTGTTCTGTTCCAGCCTTCTGCCTCTTGTGCTCACACACCAACCACAAAAACCAAAGGTCCAGAAAGCGTGGCACACACAGACTCTGTCTCTGCCCCGCAAGGCCACAGATGTTGGTTTTGCTAAGGCGGCCTCCGGGTAGGTAAGGGAGCCCAAGTCATTTCAACACTTATTAGATGCTCCTGCTGGAATCACCCCCCTGCCCCAAGTCAAGGTCAGATTTGTCTTGGGGAGGAGATGTGTTTTCTAGGATGGCCATCAGTACTTGCCACTCCAGCTACCTAGATGTTCATAGCCTTAGTCCCCACTGGGATGGGGTGGCAGCTGCATCTGCTCACCCTTGGCTGAGTGTGCAAATTGCCCAAAATAGAAGGGTTCCTGCTTGTGCTAAAGCCCACTTGCTGCTTGGATGGTTGGGTAGTTGGACTAGGACCTTTGGCTGAGATTCTGGAAGTCTGTTTTAGCTGTTTGTTACTCATGACACCACACACAGCTGTAAAGCTGCGGCCGAGAGAAAAGCCAACAATAAAATCACTAGCTCTGAAGGGTCATTCCACATTCATTTTTCTCCTCTAATACAACAGCCGATAAATTTACTAGTATCATCATTATGATACTTAGTAGCACTGCTACTAAGGAGGAGTGCCAGAAAAATCGTAGGTGCTCAATATGGTGACTAAAGGATGGAATGAATGAGACCCGGGACATGGCAGTCCTTGCAGGTTAGCCAGCAGGGGTTAATTTGGGATGGAGGATACTGACTTGTTCAAACAAGACCTTGATCCTGCCTTCACAGTCCCTCAGAAATTTAGGCCACCATCTCTTCCAGTGCAGAATGAGAGGAGTGGGCTAGTTCTCGGTTTCCAACAGTCAGTTCTTGGTTTCCAACATTCAGTTCTTAGGCCTACGGAGCTTAGGAAGTTGGTAAGGATCCTAGGAGTCTCTTGAAAAGCCGATTTAAGCCGCCCCCAGGCTGTACCCACGTGCTAATCCGTTCCTTGCTTTGGGCTGCATTTCAGGCTCTCAGAATAGTTAACACTAGAGCTGAGCTGTCTCCTGTTACAGAAAATTCTTACTAGGCGTTTAATAGGAAAATCTTCTCGCTTTGGTAATAGGAACTTGGAAGCAATAAATAAACGCATTTCCTGGCAGTGAGAAGGTCGGGGAGCCTCTTCTCGGAGATGGCTCAAATTCTTGGGTGGATTATCATTGGATTGTTCTGGAACACCATATAAATCAAATCTATCCGGAGGACGGGAGAAGGGACGAGGAAACTGCAGCCTATAGCACTTTGGACCCTGATTTGGGATTTTTCAATTCCGGGGTCTGAGCCTGCCTGGCCAATGTGCCAAGCCCGCTTGTGACGTCAGCCCGTTGCCATGGCAGCGGAGGCAGACTTTCCGCGGTGACCTCACTGCAGAACTAGGCAGCTGTCACATGATGCATGGGCAGGAGACCCGTCAGACGACAGCGGACCACCTGTTCAATGGACATAGAAGCCCGACCTCAAGCAAGTCCAAACTCCTAGCAGGTGGCGGCTTCGGGCCCAAAGCTGAGGGGGCCGGGTAGCCCACCAGGCCCCGGGCCCCCCGGATGCCATGCACCCCCTGAACGGGAGGCTGGCGCTGATTCAACCCCTCCGCCACACGCTCCGGAATTCGCCTCGGGCCTCCCTCCCGGGTCCCACTGCTGTTCGGAGAGGGTCGACCACGCCCGGGCACCCGGCTTTCGGGTGGGCGGGGCTCCCGGAAAGGGACTCAGTTGGGGGGACTCACGCATTGCCCACGTAGATCCTCGGGGTGACCTCGTTGCAAGGCTGGCTCGGGAGGCTGTAGCAGCCGCTGCCGTCCGAGAGCAGATCGTTGAGGTCCTGCACCGAGAGCTCGCATGGGCCGGCCATGGTGGCGGCCGGGTGCTGCACGCCAGGGCTGGAGCGAGCGAGGGGGACAGGAGCCCGGTCAGCTGGGCCGGGACTCCGGTGCAGAGATTCGCCCTGACCCGCCCCGTCCCGCCCCGGGGGCGGGCCCCGCCGCGCGAAGGGAGCTGCGAGCGCTAAGCGCCACAGCGCTGGCAACCACCCGCGCGCCACTTCGCAGCAATACGGCGCCTCTGGGCGCCGAGCGGATGCTCCCGAAAACCCCAGGACCCGTCCCCGCGGGCGGCAATATAGCCACTCTGGAATAGGGATCCTCTCCCCACCCCCAACTAAAACATTTTAATTCCGTAAACTTCCTTTACGGGACCAAATTCAGTACGCAATAAATGCTACTATTGACGCAGGTGGAGTCCTGGCGTAGGATCAGCAGTGGACTGCTAAGGGCAAGGTCGGTGGTTAACCAACCAGCCGTTCCTCGGAAACCCTGTACAGGGTCGCTTATTAGTCAGAACGGACTCAAAGGCACTTAATAGCACTTAACATTGACGGAATGGCACCCACGTGTCACTCTGGGGTCTGTCTCTGAGCTCTAACTCTACTGTGGACCTGTAGGGTTGACATCACCCGGAGCTTGTCAGAAACGCAGTCTCAGCCACAGTTCAGACCTGCAGGAATCAAAATGTGTAATTAACAAAATCTCGATGATAGTTAAGGTTTGAGAAGCCCTGCTCTGGGGCGAACAGGCTTTCAACATTCACTGGAGTCCACATGCTTAAAAACTTGGAATCTATGCATTCAGGCTTGGAATTTTGACCCTGGAAAATGAGTCTTTCCAGAGCTTCGGTTTGCTGTAAACGGGGATGGATAATAATAAAAGTTTTGTTTTGTTTTGTTTTAATGGGAAGATTACAATAACATTCAGGGAGAGTGACCAGTGCCACATAGTGAAGACTCAGTAAGTTATTAGTTCTTCCTTTCTTCATCAGCAAATGTGCTGAGCACCTCCTACGGGCTACACCCTGCTCTAGTGTGAACATGTAGCAGCTTCCAGAGTGAGCCAGAGTGTCTTTAACTGCATTTACTGAGCTCCAACCATATGCAAAAAACAGAGTGTCTGTCCTTGGAGAAAGTCACTGCCTCCAACTGCCAGGAAAATGCAGGCCCACGTTCCCTAAAAGAGCGAAGATGGTCCCCCAAATTCAGGAAACTCACATACTGAGTCCAGCTCTGTTACTCATGTGCTCTGCATTCTTGAACAGTTTCATTGCTGCTCTGGATTTTAATTGCCTCACCTGCAAAATGAAGAAATTGAATCAGAATATCTTGAAGGTCTTCTTTCAATCCCCCAAAAGCTGTGGTCTGACCTTCAGGAAAACCATTGCAAAAGAGACTATAGGCCCAGATATGAAACCAAGGTTGGAATTTCTTTACCCTGTGCTTTCTTCGCCTAGAATACCGTGCCTTTTCCTTCTGGTGGTGGGGCCCACAGATCAGGCAGGTGAGAAAGTTTCCTAGTCCCTTGGCCCCTCATCTTAATTTGGGCCTAGGTTGGCATTCAAAACAGAAGCCTAGGGACAGCCAGGCAGGCTCTACTATGCCTATGCTTTTCCTGACACCTGTTCCTGATGTCATAACTAGGTAGCTATGACAACCTTTTATGGGACAGCTAAGCACTTCACAGAGGAGCCTAGGTACCTGTCTCATTTCTGAAGTGAGATTAGGAAGAGAAGATGAACAAGTCCCTGGATTACCTGGCCTACCCTGTAATTGTCTCTAATCATAGGCAAAGCACAACCTTTAGGAGGCAACTGGACTATGGCCACTATATCTTTCACAAGAATAGAATACAAATAGGTATGTGGGCAGTTGTGGGCAGTAGGGGTTCTGGAAGGATCCACCATAGAAAAATTGACAGTAAACCAGCCCTTGTCTGACGAGTTTGGTTAAGCAGACATTAGAATCAGTGACAAAATATAGTTTCCACCAGGGAGTTCATTTGATGGAAACGCTCGTTTAAACTCTTTGAAGCCAAAATAACTTAGAAAGAGAATATGACTTTAACACCCAACAGACAGACTAGTAATATTGGCTGGGTGGTGGTGGTGGTGTGCCGGGAAGTCTGTTCTTGCTCAGAGCGACCCTACATAGGGTTTCTGAGGCTGTAAATCTTTGCGGGAGCAGAAAGCCTCATCTTTCTCTTGAGGAATGGCCAGTAGTTACAAACTGCTGACCTTGAGGTTAGCAGCCCTACTTTTAACCACTACGCTACTAGAGGGACATTTATCTCTGTCACTTTTTACTTTTTCTAGCATTCACCAGTCTTTGTTTTTCTGCTCAAAGCTTTTCAAAGATGACAATTTGCCAAAGTACACCAAGCTAAAATTCCTTGAATTAAGCTCAGAATTTGAAATTGTAGTGTCTATCTGTTACTAATGTCTAGGAGGTTAGTAGATTTTCTGCCATGAAGACCCCCTGATGTAACCTGGCTCTCTGTGACCCTTCTCCTCTAGTGAAGCCGACAGTGGACACCAAGCCTCCAGTGGCACACACACATCACATTTTAAAGCTGAGTAAACTACAGGTACATGTTCTTGCCATCCAAAGATGCATTCTACCCATTTTTCTCTAGATCATGGAGTCCTTGGGTGGTGCAATAATTAATACGCTCAGATCCACCCAGGGGCACCTTGGAAGAAAAGTCTGACAGTATACTTCTGAAAAATCGGCCATCCAAAACCCTGTGGAACACACTTTTACTCTGACACATATGGGCTTCCATGAAACAGACTTGACTGGACAGCAACCAAACACCATGGTTTGTTGGTTGTTATCTTTGTCCCAAGAAGGGTCCAATTTCTGGAGCCTTCTAAATACCCACCTAACCCAAAGGTTTGTGAAGCCAGCTCCTCCCCTTCCACAATGCCCTTAGTCTCTGTGATGGCCACTCATTCAATTTGCCCCCTTGCCACCACCTCAGAGAAGGGTTATACTAAATCACTGTAGGTGGGAGCAGTGCAGTGATGTCACCATGGTGGGCGGGGCTTTCTTACCAGGGTGAACAAAGGAAAATCGACAAAATTGAATATGAAAACAAGCAACTGTGTCAGAAAATTGCAAATGCTTACCGCGGCCCCGCCAAGGTGGACTGCTGGAATGAATATTTTTCCAAGAGGTAGTGTTCTTCCTCTTTATTTCATTTCTGAAAATTCCCAGCCCCCTTGTTGCCCAGAAGAGAAAATCCTTCAGGGAAGTTATCTTGAGGGAGCACTAGAAAGACCATATTAAGAATGCAAACTCTATTTCTCTATCTCTAATGAGAGATTGCATCTCAGCAGAGATTTTCAGATTCCTACCCAGAGTTTGTAGCAAGACTGCATTGCATACTTTTGCAAAAGGATGAGTATGACATGTTGTTGTTGTTAAGTGCCACCAAGTCGGTTCCGACCCATAGTGACCCTGTATAAGGTTTCGACAAGCAGCTGGTGAGCTTGGACCACTGACCCAGCAGTTCAAATGGCTTTGCAGTCTGGCGCATTAACTCACAGCGCCACACCAGGACTCTTGAGTATGACATAGCACTCTTAAAATTAGTGCTACAAATATTTCCTGACCACCTACTATGGGCTTATTGTTGTTGAGTGCTGTTGAGTTGGTTCTGACTCAGAGCGACCCTGTATAGGATTTCCAAGGAGTGGCTGGTGAGTTTGAACCACCGACCTGGTGGTTAACCGACCTTGTGGCACAGTGCATTCTCAGTGCCACACCAGGAGTCCTACTATGTGCTGCTGGTGGTGTGCTGTGGAGTCGGTTCCTTCTAGCAACCTTGCATAGAGTTTCCAAGGCTGTAAACCTTTACGGGAGCAGAAAGCCTCATCTTTCTCCCATGGAACGGCTGGTAATTTCGAACTGCTGACATTGAGTTTAGCAGTCCTACTCGTAACCACTATGCTACTAGAGCTCCTTGTGCTAGGCCCCAGGAATGCAGAGATAAGATGAAAGCTATACTTCCTAACTTCAAGAAACTCCTGGCCTGGTAGAGGAGACTATGTGGATCATAATGTAACGTCAAGAAGTCAGTGTGTGGTGGGGTGGATGTGGGGTTCCTTTCCTATCTTCTTGATGATCAGAGATGGAGTTGAAGCTGAGGAGAGTCAGGTGGTGGCTTGTCCACAGCCTTTTGTGACGTAGCTGTCCCTCTACCACCTAACCAGAGATTCTCAGTTGTGGTTTCACATAACCACCACCTGGGACAGACCTTTATAAACTACTAAGGCCTAGACTGCTGGTGTGGCACTGTAGGATCAGTACTGGACTGTGAACCTTGTGAGGTCAGCAGTTCAAACCCACCAGCTGCTCCTCGGAAACCCTATACAGGGTCGCTAGACAGGAACTTACTTGAAGGCACTTAATAACAAGGCTGCACTCCAGATCCGTCAAGTAGAATCTTCTAGTAGTGGGCAGCTGGGTTGAGAACCACAGATCTAAACCCATAAATGCTTTGCGTGTTTTCCAAGTGCTATCTAGTTCACCAGTCAGGTGTATCCAGGTATACTGAAGTCTCAGGGTTCAGGCTGACAGTGTACTCCCCTCTCCTCCCCCACACCCATTCCAGAAGAGCTTCGTGTTCTTCACCCATCTAAGGGTTTATGTTTTTCAGCTTAAACCGAGAAACAAGGAACCGGGAGCTAGTGAGAATCACCGTGGAAAACCAAGGCATTCTGAAGAGGCTTGGTGATCGCAAACCCCACTACGACCGCAGGGAGTCTGAGATAGACTGGCAGGCACGTGGACACTCGTGTTATTTCCATGCACATATAGGGTCCTGTGTTCAGAGTAAAGACAGTCTAAGGAAGGGGGCCCTGGGCAGCTGAGGGCCTGATCACTGTCAACTGCAACAAAGAAAAACCACCCCAAACAAGCAAAGCTAACAACCACAAGCAAACAGCTAAAGAAATCTCTTGGGAGTAAAGCTACTATGTGTCACTTTCAAAAACTAGTTTATAACATCATGCCTCATCCTTTCA